AAAAAAGAAAGAAAACTATAAAATTAAAAAAAAGTAAGTCCACAACATAAATCCTATTTAAATATTACTATTACTGTTTTAAACCAAAGAATGCTTTCATATCCCTAGCTACAGACCATTTATAATAAAAGTATGCATATATTTTAGCAATGATTTTCACCCCTGCAATTACATTTTAACTAGCAATGTTTCTTGGAGTATAAATATTAAAATCCAAAATAGTAATGTACCTTTCCTTTTAAGCTACATACCAATACAGAGCTGTGTCAAGTTCAAACTATTTTGAACAATTTACACTCTCAAAACAAAAACAAGGCCATCAGCAAAAGCAAAATAATCCAAAATTATTTGATTGTTCCTCATTTCTTGATTCTTGAGTATCATTACCTTTCCTGATATCTTCTTTACAAGTTTCAATTTTAAAAAAACAAAATAAACTTTTCTGTAATTGGAGCTAGGTCATTAAATACTCTTGCACAGCATTTGTAAGGCTAAAAGAGATAGTAATTAATACCCAGAGGATGTTAAGCATTTACAAATATGAAACTTTAAATCTCATTTGTGAAATCAGAATAGTACTGAGTTCTTTTGTCCAGATAGTAAAGAGTTCAATTACACATATAATTGCACATATAACACTAATATGTTTCTAATTTTTAAACTTAGGTATAGATTACCTTAGCTATATTACCAGTATATCCTGGAACCAAAGTCAGATGGTTTTCCTGTTCCCATAACCCACTTAACTGTTGTTTTAAAATCTGAATATTTCTAGGAAAAAAGAGAAAATGAGAAAATAAAAATGCATTAGGCTATGGGCTTTAGTAGTAAATAAACGTATACAGTTTTTAAACTTTCCACTATTTATCAGGAGGAAAATACACTAAAGTTAAGCAACTGGTTAAGATAGGCCAAGTCAATCATAGAAATTAAAGGTTATTTAATTGTCAAAGCTCGCATATGAAAATAACTCAGTGTTCCCAAGACTGCTCTGGGCATGTAACAGGAATTTTTGAAATTACGAACTTCAAGGGCAATACTGGTATATTTGTGCGTGTGTGTTTGCATGTAGCTTCGTGATAATCTTATTTGGTAGTGTCCATATTTTTATACTGCCAATACTCAAATTATAATGATCATAATGTAGTTTTCAGAACTGTAGTAATCAACACTGAACTCTCAGGTTAATGTCTAGGGGGCGAAGAGATGCCTCTATTCCTGTGCCCCAACACTTCTTCCACTCAGGGCCATCTCTGCTTCCTTCCTCACGAATTATAATGGACAAGGGGGTTAAACCACAGCCATGCTTTTTCCTTCTAAAATGAAGGGCAAGATTCTGCCTGAGAGATATGAAGAGACAGACGGGGTTGCTAGGCTCAGGAATTCAGCTCCCACATGTAAAACCAGAATATCAGTTTAATATTTCTCTGAAAATGAAGAGGATAATGATATTTCACTGCACCTACTTTAATCCAATTTCTTTCCTGAAATACAGTAGCATGAATTTATTTTTAAAGGCATACTCACCCATCATTTTTAATTTCTGTTTTGGATGATAATTCTGACCACCATCTTTTTATAACTGCTTGAAGCCAGTTTAAACCAACTATTACATACCTGAAATGACATTTGTTACAAAAAGTGTCAAGTGTTTTCCTCGAGGAAGACTTCATAAACTAAGAACTCCCTCAAAACACACACACACACACACACACACACACACACACACACACACCTTTTTCCTTTTAAAAAAATTTCACCACTTTCACAAAACTCTGTTATACAACTTGTTGAGATGTTTTTGTAATTGCTCTTTAGTCATTTTATATGGGGTTCCTTGGTAGCGTATTATTTCTTAAAAACAGAAACCATGGCGTCCAGTGGTGTCCAATCTAATTGTACGGACTTGCAACACATAAAAATCAAAGATGTTGAAAGTGAAGCATAAATGGAAATTCAGATTAGAACTTACTCTTCAAATTTGCTCTTAAGTAGTGACTTTACTAGAGGTAACAAGTCTACACAGCAGCCAAGTGAGATGTATTGTTTTTCTTCCTGCAAACTAAAACAAAGAAATGTTATAAAAATATGAACAGGCCAAACTGTCCTTCTTGAAACTTTATTTTTTCTTTTCTTAAAATTTTCTTTTTACCTATTGGTGAGCACAGGAAGGCAGTCCACCACAACCCCAAGATCTTCTATCCTGTGGGAACAAAAAAAAAGAGTTGCTCTCTCTTTACTATATTCTCAGTAGTTTTAAAGTACGTATTCATTCCACAACCAATTTATGTGTCTATGATGAAGTAGGCACTGGGTGCACAGCAGTGAATAGAGAGATAAAAATCTAGGTCTTATGCAGGCAGGTGAGTTTCAGAGTTGGCAGATAGAAAATAAATAAGAAACCTTTATGCTGATGGTAGGAAGTACTATGATAAGAAAAAGAGTAAAAAGGGGCTATAGGGAGTGGAGATCTAAGTGTTTTCAAATGAAGTGGTTGCTTAACTAAAATAGTTTTAAATGTGTGAGGAAGGTAGTAGCATTCTGTATTTTTGTCCCTCTTCCTCTGGTAATGAGTGATATACTTTAAACCTTATTATCTATATGAAGCTAAACAAGTTGTTACTGGCTGCTGCCAAGGGCTTTCCAACTCACAGGACACATACACACAGGAGGAAACGCTTGCTGGTCCCATAGCATCCCTGCACTTGTTAGGTTTGAACCCACTGTTGCAGCCCCGGTGCCAATCCAGCTTGAGGGTCTTCCTCTCCTCCCCTCCTTATTTTACTAAGCAGAATGTCCTTTTCTAGTGACTGGATTTTGCTGATAACATGTCCGCAGGCCACGAGAAGCAGCCTCTCCATGCTCATTTCTTTTTTTTATGGTAGCATTGCTCACCTCAGCCTCACTTGGTGGTCCACGGGAGGGAGAGAGAGAAACTTTAATGCTTCCCAAGCTTTTATCCTCTCTGGGGACATTGGGGATGTGCAAGCCCCCTCGTTACAGGTGAAGACAAACGTCACAGGAAGGGGTTGTGCTATAGGTATTACAGTGATGGGAGGCGGTGATCTAGGGATATACACGCAATAGGAAGAGGAGGAATTGGGGGTATACATGTGACAAGATGGGTGGATCCTAGATTTAGGATGGCAGATTAACTTTGACCTATTCCTGGGTCTCCATAGGAACCATTATCAGTAGGATGTGAACTCCGCCCACAGGAACCAAACTAATGATCTTAAGCTTCAGAGAGAAGCTTTGTCTCCAGCAGCAGGGAGCAGGCCCACCCCTGTGGTGGGAGGAGACATCCATGCTCATTTCTAAGGAGCATTTGCACTGTACTTCTTCAAAGACACACTTTTGTTCTTCAGGCAGTCTTCGGTACTTTCAGTATTCTTCGTAAACACTGTAATTCAAATGTACCCATTCTTAATCCAATTTCATGCACACAGGTGATGAAAAACACCATGGCTTGGGTCAGGAACACTTTAGTCCTCCAATTTACATCCTTGCTCTTTAACATGTTAAAGAGGTCTAATGCAGCAAGTTTGTCCCACTGTAATACTTGACTACTGCTTATATGAGCACTGACTGATTGTGGGTCCAAGTAAAATAAAATCCTTGCCTAATCTGATCTTTTCTCTGTTTATCATAATGGTACCTATTGGCCTAGTTCTGTTTTGGTTTTCTTTTTTTAATTTTAATAAATAATTTTATTGGGGGCTCTTACAGCTCTTATAGTAATCCATACATACAATTG